ATCTAAGCTCATTATAAACAGTTAACCCCACTGAACAAGGCAGGACATAGTTCTGTACCTAAATTAGTTGTACCAGGTTATCAATGCCAAAAGCTAACTGAGTCCTCTGCATATTAGCTTCTCTTACTGTCAAAGACAGGCTTCCTTATGAGTCTCTGTTTGTCCATTCATTTCACCACTGCAACTTTCAGCAAATTGGGAATTAATTTGATAGCACAGGATATGTGCATGTTAAACCACATCAGTGTGCTGCAACTTACAGAAAAAGGAGGTTCTGATTTATCTCCAGTAGAAGGATTAGCAGAATTCAACAGACTTGTGCATGTTACTTTCAAATGTGATTATCTTTTTCTTCATAGCAGAGCAGTAAGTGAATGCAGTAACTGAATTTTACAACTCTGGAAATTATTAGAACTTTTCTTTAAAGAAGGAAAGTTTAAAGGTGACCAATAAAAGATTTTGGAAAGGGTCTGATCAGCTGAAATTGCATACAACTTTGGTACTGTAGAAACCCAAGAAATTAGATTTTAATGCCTGCTGTGGGCTTCTCTTGGGCTAAAATTGGATGCATTCTTTGATGAAATGGGCCCCAAAAGAAGAAATATGTACACGGTTCTGATAATACAGCTTATTTTTAAGTCATATTTATGAATCTGAATCCACAACTGAAAACAAGACCATGCTGTGGGAATGAAGGCGAATATTTAACACAGTCAGAAATAGGTTTCTGAAAATAAGAGATTGTTAAAGTTACGGTGAACATGTGCAAATTGCAAAATATCAGCAAGTCTTCTCTGCTGCAAACTGATCTAAAGCAGCTTTCCTGTTTCCCCAGCAACCTTGTGCAATGCTAGCTTGTTTCTTTGGAAGTAAATTAAATGTGACTTTCAAGTAGTTCATTATTTCAGTAGCCACAATGCCTTTCAGAAGCAAGGACATTCAATAAATCATATTAGGATTTGGTGCACTTCTGAAGGGAGGCAGATAAAGGATTTTTGCAGAAATAGTTTTCAAATCTAGTAAATTTTTTAGAAATTACAAAAATTATATTTCTATTGATACAGGGAAAGAAGAATAAAATGTATTTCCCGTGTGTAAGGAAAGCTAAATATTGTTTGGTGCTGCACTGAAAGCCAGCAGGTCCTGCTTCACGTGGATATAGCCAATGCAGACACCTTCAGCCCCTAGACACAGCAGCACTTGAACTGCGTAGTTGAAAACTCTGCAAAAATGCTTTTACAGAATGCCCATGCTCAGCCCAGGTTGTGCAGTGTTCGGTGGTTGGTATACTGAGAAACCCACAGCCTCTTCCATGACCCAACCTGTATACGTATCTCTGAACTACAATATCATACCCTTCAGATTATCTATGTGATGCACACAAATGGATATAAGATTTCTGTACTAAATTGTGGTTTGCTTCTAACGTCAGTGCTAGAAGAAAGATGCATACAAAATATGAGTTATACGGACAGAGCTACCGCTACACAGTGCCTCTACAACAGGCAGACGCTCTCCCAGTGACTTTCAGAGGCAAAGGCAGAAGCCTTTCAATGTAATGGCTACATATTTTTCAATCTGAGCTTCAGGCTTACACTGTGCAAGTAGGTTGCTTTGCCTGTCCACTTGAATTTCCTCGTTCATTTCCACCAATCTCTAATTGCTGGGAAGTCAAACCAGTGCATTTTTCAGTTCATTTCAGATCTGACTGTGACTAAAATTGTTTTGTTTCAGGTCTTGCATGAGTTCAACAGAACTTCAGGTCATCAGTTTGGATTTAGCTTTAAACCCTGAAGATCCAAACGGTTTTGTTTGGTTTCACTGGCTCACATTTGCATTGATTTTCAGGAAGTTAACAGAATCATCATGGTAGAATAAGCTGTCAAGCAACCCAAGCACTCAGCTTTGATGCTTTATTTAGAAACTAAACCATTTTGAGGGGGTTGTATTTTTTTCCCAAAAAAAATATGGGTTTGGTGTAAAGAGTTTATGGCAAATGATATTTTTAATGGGAAACAAAAATGTCTCATAGAAACAAGGTATTTTTTACCAACAGAAGTATGTGTAATAAACCTATTTTCCACTGAAAAGCAGTCTCAAGGAAGTGAGCTTATTGCCAAACCAGTGCGGATCATGACGGGTCCTAGCTGGGCTGATCATGCTAATACATTTTATTTCAGTTAGTTCAGTACATACAGTATTGCTATTCAAAAAGCCCTTAAATGAAAAGAACCACAGCAGAGAATGGAGCATCCATTAAACACAGCACAGAATACTCGATCTCCCATCACCATAATCCATTACTTTTCAAAAAAGTTTACTGGGCTGTAGTCTGGCTCTGTGTGATTAGAAGAGCTGTTTTATTTATGTTTATTTATTATGTAAGACTCATCATCATCAGTTTATTTTCCAGAATGTGATTTATCTAGGAAGATAGCAGTTTGTTAAAACAGGAACTGAGAGAGGCTTACATGTATGAATTTTCTGTTTCAACGTACTTAGGTAATTAATTTCACAGTTCCCAACATACCACTTCTTTTCATAAATAACTTGCTTTTCCTTCTTAAGAAATACAATTTTTAAAAAGGTTGAGAAATATTAACATAAGTAATGAAATAACACATCTTGAAATCACCTAAAGATTTGGTTGAACCAAACTGTATATTTTTTCAGATTATTGATATGGAAAGATTTACAAGGGTTAAAATTTCCATCTCATTTGGGGAAAAAATGTTGAAATATCAAACTGCAATAGGAGAGTAAAACTATTTGCCCTGCGGATTGATCAGGTAGCTGGTAATAGGTGTTGCCTGTGATTTCAGTACAACAAATGAACCTGCACAAAACTGATTTCTTCAGATTCACCTTTATGGTACCTCCTGCCTACGGCCCAGTGTATCTCCACTTAACATTTCATAATAATGAGTGTTGCCATTCCCCTCTTGAAAAACACTGAACTATGCTCAGTGTCTATTAACACCACTTAGGTGTTAGTAGGTGGGCTGAGAAAACACTGCCATGCCATCAGCTGATGCCTTCAAATGCATCCAGCTCAGCGGTGTGCACATGTTTGATGCCCCTCGTAACTGTGATCACATTTCAAGTCCAGCCATTGAAACTGAGTCCCAAAAAGAAAAGGAAGTCCCAGAAAAAGCAAATGCAACTGCCTCACCTTCAGCTCCCATAGATACAGCCTTTCAGGTGTTCAGACAGTGCCGGCTTCTCCCAAAGCAAGCTACTCCAGCCCCTGCTATACAGCTGGTCGTTAACAAATGTCTGCACTTTGTCTTGGTTTCACATATTTGGAGCTAAGATGCTGGGTGAAGGTAAATCGCATTCTGACATGTGGTAGCTAAAACAGTCATGTTGCCAAATGCACTTAACTAGTAAAACTCAGTCATGGGAAGCCCAAGGGACGCAGACCATCTCTCCAAATTACACCTTCAGTTAGATGCCTGTGGATCTACCCTCCTCCCTCCCTCAACCTCACCCAGAAACCTCAAGTCTAGTGGTGTCCCTGAGTATGAATATTTTTTCATAATGTTCTTATAAGTGATTGCTTGTGGCATCTTGTAGTCTTATCTCAGCTTGTGCAGCCCCCTCATGAATATTCTGTACATATGGAAGAGTTTTCTATATCATTGCCCATTAACAAGGAGGATAATCACTCATTCAGTTATCAAGAAGTCAGTGAAGGCCTTTCCTTGAGCCCTTAGTGCAAAGAATCATGGGAGATCAAAGAGGGTTAAATGTGGCTGACATTATGATCATTACTTTTTTCTGTGTAATTACTGTATTATAATAAAGTTGATCTAAGATAAGGCAAAGGAGTATTAAAGCCTTTTAGGACTAAACACCATATTAGTGACTCTCTACCTTTTTTAAACATGGGACAAAATGCATATTTCAGCTGACACATATAAATGAGCATTCTTTCACTAAAACCACAGTAGGGTCATAAGTGTACAAATAAATTATATATTATTACATAATTGCTTTTAAGAGAAGTTAATCCAATGTGAATGCAAAAGGGGAGGAGAAGATATAATGATGTATCATTAGTAAAAACAGCAACACTGGATTTTAGATTCAAGCTGAAAAGTAGCTTTCTTAATTTCAGGATAATTTGAACATTTAGTAATACATTAATGATTTTTACCTGTCTTTTCTTAACTGTTCCATCATAATTTAGTCATACTTTCAAAAGCCAATGCACTAAATGCTTTCATGCACATTAGCAGAACTCTGTGTCTACAAAAGCAACTAGCCCTGCGTAAATGGTTTAAATGTAATACAAAACTGGCTCATTTACTATTCTTCTGGCTGTTCTGGATGTTACCAACACTGCAGCAGAGCTGCACTGGTATGGGTCTCAGATTTATTACACAATATTTATTTTTCAGGTAGGCAGTGATGAAGTTGCAACAAGAAGTCCAAGTGCAATCAAGAGCGACTTTGGGGCCTTAGGACAACTGGTTAAGGGATCAGGAACACAAGCAGCATTCTCCTCTATCCTTCCAGTTGCAGGGAAGGATGAGGGAAGAAACAGGAAGGGCCAGCAGATCAATACCTGTCTCCAAGCCTGGTGTCACTGGCAGAATTTTGGGGGTTTTGATCATGGGTTGCTTTACATGACACCAGGCCTGCTGGCAACAGACGGGGTACACCTGTCTCAAAGTGGGAAAAGAATCTTTGCACAGGAGTTAGCAGGGTTCATTGAAAGAGCTTAAAACTAGGTTTGAAGGGGGAAGGGGATAAAACCAGGCTCTCTAGAGATCAGCTTGGGGGTAGCATGACAATGTTTGAACGTGCTAGCAAGGTCCTTTGGTCTGCCATCTCAGTGGAGGTAGGGGATGGAGATCCACACAGCAGCAAAGATGCAAGGGCTGTTGATGTGTTAGAAACCACAGAAGCACCTGAGAACAGTCATATAGGAATTAAGGCTTCTGCCCCCTGAAAGGCGGCAGGATCAATAGCCCAGCTGAAGTGTATCTACAGCAATGCAACAACAGCTGGAAGCCATTGTGCAGCAGGAAAACTATGATATAATTGCCATAATGGAAACATGGTGGGATGACTTGCACAACCTGGGTACTGCAATGGATGGCAAAAGGGATAGGTAAGGAAGGAAAGGCAGCCCTCTATGTTAGGGAGTATTTTGACTGTCTAGAGCTTAATGCTGGTGACAACAGTGCTGAGTGTTTATGAGTAAGAATCAGGGGGAAATTCAACAAGGCAGATATCGTGATGGGACTTTGTTATAGACCCTATATAGCTTTAGCTGGAACTTAGGAAAGAAAGGAGATTTTAAGACCTTTGGAAGAAGGGGCAGGTAACTCAGGAGGACTACAAGGATGTTGTGAGGTTATGCAGGGAGAAAGTTAGAAGGGCCAAAGCCCAACTAGAACTTAAGCTGGCTGGTGCCATAAAAGACAATAAAAAATATTTTTATAAATATATTAACAACAAAAGGAGTGTTAAGGAGAATCTCCATCCTATATTGGATGTGGGGGGAAACATAGTAACAAAGTATGAGGAAAAGGCTGAGGTACTTAATGACTTCTTTGTCTCAGTCTTTAACAGTAAGACCAGTTGTTCCCAGGCTATCCAGACCCCTGAGCTGGAAGACAGGGATGGGGAGTGGAATGAAGCTCCCATAATCCAAGGGGAAATGGTTAGCGACCTGCTATGCCACTTAGACACACACAGGTCTATGGAGCTGTGTGGGATCCAACCAAGGGTACTGAGGGAACTGGCACAAGTACTAACCAAGCTACTTTCCATCATTTATCAGCAGTCCTGGCTAAGTGGGAAGGTTCTGGTTGATTGGAGGTTAGCCAATGTGACACCCATCTACAAAAAGGGCCGGAAGGAGGATCCAGTGAACTACAGCCTGACCTCAGTGCCGGAGAAGGTCATAGAGCAGATCATCTTGAGTGCCATCATGTGGCACTTTCAGGACAGCGAGGTGATCAGGCCCAGTCAGCATGGCTTTATGAAAGGTAGGTGTCCTGCTTGACCAACCTTATCTCCTTCTATGACAAGGCGACCTGCTTAGTGGATGAGGGAAAGGCTGTGGATGTTGTCTACCTGGACTTCAGTAAAGCCTTTGACACCATTCCCCACAGCATTCTCCTGGAGAAACTGGCTGCTCGTGTCTTGGATGGGCATACTCTTCACCAGGTAAAAAACAGTCTGGATGGCTGGGCCCAAAGTGTTCTGGTGAATGGAGTTAATTTCAGTTGGCAGCAGTCACATGTGGTGTTCCCCAGGGTTGACTACTGGGGCCAGTTCTGCTTAATATCTTTATCAATGGTCTGGATGAGGGGATTGAGTGCATCCTCAGTAAGTTTGCAGACAACACCAAGTTGGGCAGGAGTATCGATCTGCTTGAAGGTAGGAAGGCTCTACAGAGACCAGGACAGGTTGAATTGATGGCCTGCAGCCGGTTGTATGAGGATGAACAAGGCCAAATGCTGGGTCCTACACTTGGGTCAAAACAACTCTATGCAATGCTACAGGCTTTGGGAGGAGTGGCTGGAAAGCTGTCTGGCAGAGAGGGATCTGGGGGTGTTGGTTGACACCCGGCTGAATCTGAGCCAGCAGTGTGCCCAGGTGGCCAAGAAGGCCAAGAGCATCCTGGCTTGTATGAGAAATAGTGTGGCCAGCAGGAGCAGGGAAGTCATTGTCCCCCTGTACTCAGCATTGGTGAGGCCACACCTCAAATACTGTGTTCAGTTTTGGGCCCCTCAATGCAAGAAGGACATTGAGGTGCTGGATGGTGTCCAGAGAAGAGCAACAAAGCTGGTGAGGGGTCTGGAGCACAAGTCTGATGAACAGCTGAGGGAACTGGGGTTGTTTAGCCTGGAGGAAAGGAGGCTCACCTTATCAGTCTCTACAGCTGCCTGAAAGAAGGTTGTAGTGAGGTGAGTGTTGGCCTCTTTTCACAAGTAACAAGTGATAGGACAAGAGGAAATGGCCTCAAATTGCACCAGGGGAGGTTTAGATTGGATATTAGGAAAAAATTTTTCACTGAAAGGGTTGTCAAGCATTGGAATGGGCTGCCCAGGCAAGTGGTTGAGTCCCCATGCCTGGAGGTATTTAAAAGACAGGTAGGTGTGGTGCTTAGGGAGATGGTTTAGTGGTGGACTTGGCAGTCTTGGGTTAATGGTTGGACTTGATGGTCTTAAAGTTCTTTTCCAACTTAAACGATTCTATGACTCTGTGATATTTTTTTTAGAACGTGGAGTTTTTAACTGTTAGCTCTAGAGTCTTTCCAAGTTATCCTGCTTTTTATCTGCAGGAAAAGTTCCAATCTTGTTGTTCCTGGTTTTGAATTTTTTTTCTTATGAATGACTATTTGGGTAGAAACTCGTGGTTTGAAATACAAAGCTTGAATTTGCTTCACAGTATTTTCCTATTTCACAGGCTTCAAGAAATTGCCACAGGATTTTATTTCTTATGTCTCTTATACCCTACATATTTTTTCGGTTTATTTCAGAAAATAATAGACTGCTGATTTCATGAGTCACCTGATGGAATTGTCCACTGCCCTCTGTTACTATCTTTAAGAGAATTCTCTAGGGCACATATGTTATAATTAATTACTGGATACACAGTGCCTGCCAGCACTGTGTAAAATCTATTCATAATTGTGGGAGAGAACTATGCAAGGTATTAAAGTCATACTTAACTAGGAAAGCTTTCAGGAGGAAGAGTAAAAAAAATCATAAATATTTCCTAGTAAATATGTTCTTTCTCAAACAGGGATCAATGGGATGTGGCAACTCAGGTGCCATGATGCCAGAAACAACATAACATTTCAAGTCTGAGGAAATGAACATGTGAGGGGGGGGAAATAAAAAAGACAAAGACAGCCCGAAGTTGCCCAAGTTGACTGCTTAACTTGTAGTAACTTGGAACAATAGACATACTATTTCTCTGCACCACTAGATGTAGAGACCTCTTGTCTGAGTTCCTTACACTGTCCCCTTTCCCTAGCATGTGTAACCTCAGGAAGGCACCCGTTTTAGGGCATGGGAGTGCTTTACTGTGGCTGCTATTACCTTAGGGGAGTGATTTATAGAGTTTGAAGTTCAGTAGACTAACGGCTCATGATGTCTATACACTTGCTGAGTGTAGTTTTACCTTCTTGGTTAGCTGTCCCCAAAATGTTTTATTCAATTTCTCAGGTTTTCTAATTTTTTTCTGAGCTTTTATTTCTCATCCTTAATCTTGTTTTCCAGCTTCTAGTCTACTATTCATGCTATTAACTCACCAGGTGAAGTAAAGAAATCACTGTTCATTATCTTGCACACCAAAAAACCCCAATCAAAACAACCCTTCAGTAAGGCAGCAAGACCATAGTTAAGTAAAGCAATATTTAGTAAACAGAGCAGAAAAAAAACCCATAAGAATTTTGAAAATGAATGAGTTAAAAGTCTCAGGTATGTCACCTCACCTCTTCCAGGAGCTACTAGGTCAAAAAATAAATATCTGTGGGGATGTTTCCAAGGGTAATTTCTTCATGCTTAAACCAGGTGACCAATAACTTTACCAAGTACTTTATACTACTGTTGGGCATAGCCTGATCAAGGTGTAGTTTTCTGGGCTAATATTGCTTTTCTTTTCTATATACTATGATTTTGGTAGAACTATGCCTCCCCTGAACCTGTGCAGTCTTCTCTCTGATTAAATATTCAAGGGCACCACGCAAAAGGCAAACTTTTGTTAGGTCAGTTGGCAGGCAGATTGAGCACCCCTATACAAATCATTTCTGTTATTAAAATATGCTATAATCAATTTTCAGAACTATCTGCAACTTTGAGGCTCCATGAACAGCTAAGAGAAAATAAGACTTCTTTAACAATGTTATCAGGTAACTTTCATCTGCAGAAGTATTAGTGAAGGTCTTTTTTTAAAAAAGGAAAATATTAACTATGTGGCTATGAGCTGATTAAGATTGCAGACTAGAAATCAAATACACTTGAACACCCAATTCCAGGTTTTAATATGTTTATAAACAATCACTTTCCTAATCAATATTACTGTAATAACAAAAATTTCAGATGTTCACCTGGCCCTAGAGGTCTTACAAGATCTCTCCCACAGCACTCTACCATCATGTAAGTGAAGCACAGGAGCTTGATTCTTTTCCTTTCAGATTGCATCTTTCCTGCATTTCTTTCTTGGTTTAATCCAATGTCCAGGATTAAACTACATCTCCCATCAAGCAATGCAGTCTCCTCCCAGGCTAAGAGAAGGGTGCAGGACAGCAGTCACAGCAAATTTTTTTTTTCAGTTCATCTTTTATGAGAGATTTTAATTCATCTCACAAACCCTTTTCAGTTTGGAAATGTATTTTCTGAATTCCTCTCTCCTGTATAGATTTTCTGTAGCATATCTGGGCAGCTACCCAAGAACATCAATTAAATTAGGTCAGGGAGACAAAATTATGTGTGTGACTAATTAACTCTGCCTTAAGTGTTAATAATGACGACAGGTTGGTATGTTTCATAGAAAGATATGTGCTAGAAAGCATCATGTGATAATGGATCAGAGGCCTTTTATGGCCTATGAGTTGTTCAGCGTCTCTTCTTTGTGAATTATAGTTAGGCAAATATGTGTTTGCCACACATTGAAAATTCATGCAAAACTCCTGTTGCTAGACAGTCACAGACATCTGGCCTGTTTGAAAAGTTAACTATCCTTATTCCTGAAGTTTTATACCTCATAATAACCTCTGGAAAGCAAAAAAATAAAATAAGTATTTGTCAGTGATGTTCAGCCTAACAATTTATTGAGAATCCATTTAATTATTCCCATTAGCCATTTCTGTAGTACCAATCACTGTATTGTTGGAGTACTTTTTATTTTGGCTTGAAGCATTTATGTAAATAGTCCCAAATCTGGGGCTTTTTTGTTTTGCTTTATTTTAATCCTTTTATGCTTCTCATGGGGACCTTTTTGCCGCTGACTTTTCAACCTGCAAGCCAAGGAATACATACCACATTGTACTGCTCTTCATGTCTCACCACTCCACACATACTCATTGCAGGCACTAACTTTCTGGACAGTTCTACTTTTTAAAGTCATGTCAGTGGGTCTGTACTCACATATGTATTCCATGAAAGCAAGACAATCTGATGGAGTGGTCTTCAAATTCTACTTTTGAAATGCTAAAAGTTAAGAAACATAATTAAACTGCAACAGCATTAACATTTATATAAAATATAAACTAAATGCTTATCCAGATTCACCAAACAAATTACAGGTTGAACATTATAAAAAAAAAAAAACCCCAAAAAAAACCACCCAGCTACTTATCAACGGCACCATTTGAAATTATTGCTAGTACTACAACTCTAAATGCATAGATGCCTTAAATACAAACCCTGAACATTTACATACTGATTTCATGAGCAAAGCAAAAGGTATTTGCCAGTAACAGTACAGGACTCAGCATTTTTATTGTCTGAGTAATCCTGGTTCGCTCTGATATGAAAATTCAATTATTTTAGAACTGGTCGTCTCATTAAATTTTGACAAGGAGCACAAGCTCAGTACCAGCTCTAGCTCTAAGAGGCTGTGGGTGCCTGACAGCTCCACGGTGAATTTTAAAATGTAGTATTTTTACAGGACAAGATTATCTGACAATTTTATATTAAAAAAGAAAAAATTAATCAAATACATTGTAATATCCAACGCTGGTAACTTGGCCTCTTGTAGATATTTTTTATGAAAATTTATTGTGAAAAAGAGTCCACTGTTTATTGCATCTTTTCCCCCAAACCCACCTCCATGTCTTATGCTCCACAACTGTGCTAGAAAAAAAAGTGTGCCTTTATGTGAGCAGCGAGTATTTAGCCACTCATTGTTAGCGTTTTCTACCTTTACTCAGTTAAAATGAAATTGTAATCATTTTTATAAATATTTTATTTAACCTATATATATATATACACACCATTAGCACTATCAAGGATGTTTAGACAAAATGGTTTTT